TTGCTTTGTTTTGCTTTATTTTTCTTTGCTTTGCTTTGTTTAGTTTTGCTTTGCTTTGCTTTGCTTTGTTTAGTTTTGCTTTGCTTTGTTTTGCTTTGCTTTGTTTTGCTTTGTTTAGTTTTGCTTTGCTTTGCTTTGTTTTGCTTTGTTTTTCTTTGCTTTGCTTTGTTTAGTTTTGCTTTGCTTTGCTTTGTTTAGTTTTGCTTTGCTTTGCTTTGTAAATGTAGACCAGCCTGCTGCTGCTTGGGTTAATGTGACAATTAGGACTTTCCTGTTGCCTGTTTTGGAAAATCTTTTCCTCAGGCCTTTATTGGCTTGGTTTTCCATGAAGTTCAGCACCTCCTGTAGTCTTGAGCACCTCAGCAATGTTTTAATTGACAGGTTCAGCAGTGCGTTGCCTTGCGTGTCTCTGACAGGCTACCAGGTGTTTGTTCCTCCTCCACCCCACGCGGGAGCCGCCCTGCTGTCCGCTCTCAACATCCTGGAGGGATTTAACATCACAAACCAGGTGTCCAGGAGCAACATTTACCACTGGATAGCTGAGGTACTGCTACTGATCTACTGATTTATGGCTTTAAATAAAGTGCACTAGTGATGTATTTGTGCCTAATAATCTCATGTTTTCTTCTTGCTCTTTGTATCATGTATTTTGTGCTTTCTGCAGAGTCTCTTGCCTTTAGTAGATGCCTTTAACTCTGTTCAATAGATTAAGTCAATTTTTACATTATTGCATGGTTTATATGGCTTTTCACAATATGCTTTACCCTGGGTTAACATCTTTAAGCCAGTGGAATGATTGTTCAAGGAAGAAAGCTGCATTTAAAGGGTCAAATGTAACACTAGACTTTGAGTATGCTGAATTTCTACAGGCACCGTCCGCAACAGTTATAACCAGTGTTCCCTGCGCACTTCTTACGTAGCAACCGCGCAGAAGAAATAATGTTGCGCACAAGACACATGCAAAAATTAGTTGGGAAAACTGTTTGATTAAGTTCTAGTAAATGCGAAATAATTGCAATTCTCGGGCAAACCGCTATTTATTTATTTACTTATTTAACCAGGAAGGTCCCGTTGAGATTCAATATCTCTTCTACCAGGGAGTCCTGGTCAAGATAGGCAGCAAAGGACAAAGTTACAAAGAAATACATATCACCACACAATGAACAAACACAAAATGCAATTTTCTAAAAACAATACAAATCCTAGTCAGTTATTAAAACATGTACACTGTTCTATATAAACAGACTTTAAAATAGCAAGAGATGGTACAAATTCCATATGTAATGTACCTTGAAGCTTGTTCCATACATACGGCGCATAATTAGAAAAAGCAAATCAGGTAACCTAAAATGTGCATTACATCAAGGGTCAAATCAAATATAAATAGCATGTTAAAGTTAAAAGTTACACACTTTTTTTTGTGCGTGCGCTGTACAGGTCTGGTATAAAGAATGTTTTTGCTCAGGTGGCTGAAATATCCGCCCAATAGAGAAAAGTTTTGCTCGGCAAGAAAAAAAAATTGAGGGAACATTGGTTGTAACATGACATCACACTGTGTGGTGTCTTTTTTTTTAGGACAAAGTTACAAAGAAATACATATCACCACACAATGAACAAACACAAAATGCAATTTTCTAAAAACAATACAAATCCTAGTCAGTTATTAAAACATGTACACTGTTCTATATAAACAGACTTTAAAATAGCAAGAGATGGTACAAATTCCATATGTAATGTACCTTGAAGCTTGTTCCATACATACGGCGCATAATTAGAAAAAGCAAATCAGGTAACCTAAAATGTGCATTACATCAAGGGTCAAATCAAATATAAATAGCATGTTAAAGTTAAAAGTTACACACTTTTTTTTGTGCGTGCGCTGTACAGGTCTGGTATAAAGAATGTTTTTGCTCAGGTGGCTGAAATATCCGCCCAATAGAGAAAAGTTTTGCTCGGCAAGAAAAAAAAATTGAGGGAACATTGGTTGTAACATGACATCACACTGTGTGGTGTCTTTTTTTTTACAAACGTAATCCAGCATAAAATACATTCAGAATGTAAAAATATGCAGTTCACTGCGCTTTACTGCAATTCTGCAGATTTAAAGGTTTTTTTTCATCCCGCTAAAAGCTCACGCAGTGAAGTATCAATGAATCAATCCCACACAATTCACAGGTCTTTAAATTTCACATGAGCTTGCTTTTCATAACTAGTTATAATTAATTATTAATATTTAGATCCGCTGTAGATATTTAGCTGACCTCTCAGGGTCAACTATCTGTCAATTCTAAGAACGTTAATTTCCTGGTTAAAGGAAATAACTTTCTTACTGTACAATTCTACACAGAGCCTGTAGCATAAATCTGCATGATTAAGTGACTCCAGTTATGAGCAAACAATGAACCACGTCAAGTGTGATACAAGTAAAGTTTTATTAACTACATAAACACTTAAACTAGTCTAACATACTACATAAACACATAAACTGGTCTAACACACACATACACATACACACACACAGTTTGTATAGGAAAGGGTTAAAGCTTAACGCAGTAAAGAGAAGAGAAATAAGAATATGAAGTTATGGAACCATTTGCATATTCAGCAGATCTACCCGAGGGAAACATCAGATTCTTAGTTCAAACACACCTCTGTAAAAAGGTGCAAATGATACCTAATGTATCAATTAATAAGACTAAGTTTGAATACTTGCATGTCTCATCTATCTGAAAGAGAGGTTTGATGTAATCTGAAGGTTCCAGTTGATCTTTGCTGAAGTTGGTTGATGAAAAAGAACCAGTTTTGAGTCAGAGAATCTTGATGAATGGAAAAGTCGAGGCCGAAGCCTGGCACGAACTGAGGGTGTTCCTGGAGCGTTTGCTCACATCTTCATCTTCTCAGAATTCAACCAAACCACCGACACTGGGCGGGTCACATGAAGTGCGGCCTTTAAAGTCTGCAAAGATCCACGCCTCTCAAGATGGGCTTGGCCAATGAGAGAGGCTGACATCCCAAGTGGGAGTTTTTATGACCCTTTGTTTGAAAGCATGGTAATTTGCATATGAAACTTGGATCAAAATTACTAAAGATTCTTAGAACACTATGTTGCATAGGTATAAACATACAATATACACTCTCAATTAGATCATCCGAATACAAATTAATAGAGACCAAACACGTTATATGTAAGGTTACATGAATGAGTGGTTCTATCATAAGCATGCATAAAATAGTCTACAATACAACAGATAATATACAAGACAGCAATAATATACACAATGACCTGAAGGCTATGTGTGTTCATTCAAATAAAAGGTTTCCTATGAATTAATTAGTAGAAAAGTCCATTCCTACTGTGCCTTGGGGATTTTCCTTATGGAAAAGGCAGTGATTTTCTCCACCTAAATTCCATTAGGTCATAAATGTATCTGGTGTCAGGGTTGCCATGGTAACCAGGGGGGGGCCTGGTGTTGTTGCCGACATCCTGGCATCCAGTTTATTTGGTGAGGGGACTGTGACAATTTGTTAATCTAATGAATAATTGATTTGTTAAATCAAATGAAAAATGGTGTGTCTGATTGGTCCAGACGCTACAGTATGAATGGAAGTCAGTGGAAAGAAAAGTATAGTGTGACCAGCCCTTTCATTAAGATTAAAGGGAGAGTTCACCTAAAATTTTAAATTCAAAAGTGCACAAGAGTGTTATACTATTATAGTTTTATTAGTATTTTTTTTATTAGTTTTTATATTTTTCATTGAGTCATTTTGTTATTTTCTTTGTTTATTTGTCCATATGGTTTTAATTAATTTCAGTTATAATCATTTTATTACATCAAGTTAAACTAAATGAAAATGAGAAATGTTGCATTGGTGATTAGCTAAAATAAACGTTAATAAAAGTTTTTCAGTTAACATTTGTTTGATTTCAAGTCTTTTTTCAATTTTTTTTAACCCTGGTTAATTCAAAAGTGCACAAGTGTGTTATACTATTATAGTTTTATTAGTATTTTTTTATTAGTTTTTATATTTTTCATTGAGTCATTTTGTTATTTTCTTTGTTTATTTGTCCATATGGTTTTCATTAATTTCAGTTATAATCATTTTATTACATCAAGTTAAACTAAATGAAAATGAGAAATGTTGCATTGGTGATTAGCTAAAATAAACGTTAATAAAAGTTTTTCAGTTAACATTTGTTTGATTTCAAGTCTTTTTTCAATTTTTTTTAACCCTGGTGCACAACAGCGCCTCTGCTCATGCACTACTGTCAAAGTATTCCTGTCTGTTTAATTTCCTCCACGTGTAGTCTCTGAAGATTGCTTTGTCTCAAGCCAGTGGACTGGGAGACTCCATGTTCGATTCATCGGTTTCTGAGTTGGTGACGCAGATGCTCAGGTGATTATTGAATCAAAACTGAAATGGACAACATGTTTGTTTCAACAGCAGTGTTTCAACATAGTGTCTTTCTATACCGTTTCTATAACATTGGCTGGCTCTGGCAGTAAAGGCCAGGCTGATGCGCTCCGGCAGAAGATCAGTGATTCACAGGCATCTCCGGCCGAGCACTACACGCCGTCATACGAGCTGCAGGAAGGCGCTGTGGCCAGCCAGCTCATGATCATGGGCACCGATGACTTGATCGTGTCTGTTATGAGGTGTGTTACTTTGGCTGTGATGGAGTGTTTGTAGGTAAACCCAGTACCAGGGGTGTCCAGTCCTGCTCCTGGATGGCCACTGTAATTTGCATAATGAATGAATGAATGAATTCATGTTTCCTCTGTTCCCAGCTCTCTAAACCGGCCATTTGGAAGCCGCATTGTGACACCCTCTGGGATTCTCCTGAACAGTCAGATGCTGGACTTCTCTTGGCCCAACAAAACCCACAGCGCTGCAGCTTACAATCAGGTGCGCCTAGACGCCTACACATGGCAAAAACAGGCACACACTCATAAAAACTTGCTTTTGAAATTATTTTTAACTTTTTTTTATTTTTATTATTATTATTAAATAGTCATTCAGTTCCTCTCTCTTTTGCCATTTGGTTTAAAAGGTGCTCCAAGCAAGTTTGATAACTTTTGCCTAGGGATGCACCTAAATGAAAATTCTTGGGGCGTATTGCTTTATTATTTTACTAAGATAAGAGAGATCATACAAAATGCATTCAAAACAACAATTTAAAGATATTTACTTAACACTGAAGATTTTTTTAACATTCTAGCAGACACTATACCAGGGGTGCCCAAACTGGGTCCTGGAGGGCCGGTGTCCTGCAGAATT